TCCCACCAGTGTAGCCCGCGCTCGATTCCCGCCCGGTGCCATATATGGGTTTAGATTGTTGTTGGTTCTTGCCTTGCTCCGAGGGTTTTTCTCCGGGTTCTCCGGTTTTCCTCCCTATACAAAAACCAACATCTCCAAATTCCAATTTGACCCGGATATAGAGGACCCACATGGAAACAAGCTAAAGCTGACGTGGCTTCCTCTCTAAATATATTAATTTATTTCTACATTTCAATATCCTTTTTTGTCTTTTTTCAGGACGCTTCAGACATGTTGAAGAATTTCCTCGGTCGTGAGCCTAACCAGGAAGCTTTCTTAGAAAGCAAAGGACTCAAAAAATAACTCATTTACATAACGTTAACTTCTTACAAGTAGCTTCAAAACCGTTGGACGGTTTGTAGCGAGCTACATTACTTAATAAACCACGCACAAGATCTAGGATTTGTTGCATTTAATAAAAAAGACACATTGACAGCAATTTTGGTCTCAAGTGTAGTGATTGCTATTCAGATGGAAAAAATAATAGCCCTTTTCACGGTTACCTTTGCTCATTTGCATTACAATAAAATTTAGCATGTATGTGAGGCAATTTCGGGCTATTTTGTAGTTTTAGCCCGAAATTGCCTCGCATCCACGTTCGATTACACTGTGATGCAAATGAGAAAAATTAACCGTGAAAAGGGCTATTAAGAAAAAATAGTTAATGGCGTTCGTATTTGGACTACACTAAACAGGAGGGAAAGTTTGCGATAATGGAAATTGTTTTAGAACATTCCAACGTTTTTAGAGCGTTAAAGGAGGTTCGTGGCGGTTTGCCCATCTTGAAAAGTTTAGCCTAAATTTTTTAAGTTCGTCGTTTGTAATCCGTGTTAATGTTCTCCATCCTTGACCATCCGTGTTCCTCTATGGGTTATTATTCTCTCTTTAGTGTTTTTCTATCTTAATAAACTATTATTCTCAGGTTTCCTTCCATTAAGAGGTAATTTTAATCCTTTTCATGCACCAATTTTCAGGTCTGTAATATTTCATGTAAATGCGGATAAAAAACTCGCATTTTACGATTATGAGAAATTCCTTTCCGCGCATACCACTTACTATCTTCGTGTTTTTGCCTAAACCACGGCTCACGAAATGTCCTTTAACATTACCAT